AGTTGGTCAAGCATCTGACTCTTGATTCCAGCTCAGGTCATGATCAGCCTGGTGTTGGGCTCCAACCTGAGCATATCCTGCTTGGGATTCTCTCTCTCTCTCTCTCTCTCTCTCTCTCCCTCTCTCTCTCTTGGGATTCTCTCTCTCTCTCTCTCTCCTGTGCTCTTGGTTGTGTGTTCTCTCTCTTTCTATCTCTCTCTCTTTCAAAAATAAATAGGGGTGCCTGGGTGGCTTAGTTAGTTGAGCCTTGACCTCTAATTTCAGCTGGGGTCACGATCTCCCAGTTAGTGAGTTTGAGCTCCACATTGGGGTCTGCTCTGATAGTGTGGAGCCTACTTGAGACACTCTGTCTCCTTCTCTCTGCCCCCTCCTCAAAAATAAAAAACATTAAAAAAAATAAATAACAATAAAAGAACTATAAACAAATAATGAACCCTAGTTTGTAGGCTGGGTTTTTTTTGATGGTATGAGTTGGCAATTGTAAAGCTATTTTCTATCTATTCTAGAATTAAATAAATAAATTTGTGGGGGGTGGTGGGGAGAAGGGAAAATTCTTCCTTAAAATTACAGTAAATGTAGAACTGTTGGAATTAGAAAATGACCATTTCAGGGGCTCCTGGGTGGCTCAGTCAATTAAGTGTCCAACTTTGGCTCAGGTCATGATCTCATGGTTTGTGTTCAAGCCCCGTGTCAGACTCTGTGCTTACATCTCAGAGCCTGGATGGAGCCTGCTTAGGATTCTGTGTCTGTCTGTCTCTACCTTTCCCCTGCTCGTGCTGTGTTTCTTTCTCTCTCTCTCAAAAATAAACATTTAAAAATTTTTAATAAAAGGAAGTGACTATTTCAGAACAACTTAAATAGTACTTTCACATGAATAATTTGCAGGTACTAAAACTATTGAGTGAAATTTTGATGAGAAATGGGATATTTACATAGCCTCAAGATATTTCCTTACAAAATATTAACTTATTACAAAGAGAAAAATAGTAACTTTACAGTAGAGAAATTTGGCAGGATATTCCTTAACCAAATGATCAAAGTTAACATGACTGATAATAGAACCCACTAGCCTCTTGCAGCTTTTGATATGTGTGTGAAGGACCCAATATTACTTTGTGACATTCCTGCAAAAAATGCATAGCCTGAATTTAAACACGAGAGACCGTCAGGTAAACATAATTGAGAGACATTCTGCAAAATAACTGGTCTATATTCTTTTAAAATATTAGTCTTAAAAGACACAGACTAAGGAACTGTTCCAGATGGTAAATTTCTATAGAGACATTACCATAAAATGCAGTGCAAGATCCTGAATTGGATTCTGGATTGGGAAAATCAGTAACTTTAAAGGATATTTTTAAGGCATTTAGAAACATTTGAATTTGGACTGTAATTAAACAGAAATTTTAACATTGATACAATACTGCTTTGATTTGCTATATATACTCTGGTTATGTAAGTATATATCTGTCTTTGTAGGAAAATACATGGAAACATTGAGTGCTAAAATGGTACAATGCGACTCACTCACATGGTTCAGGGGGGAAAAAGTGTGAAAGAATGACAAAGCAAATGAGGTAAATGTAAATTATCAGTGGTATTTGCAAACTATAAAGATAAAAAGCTACCTAAAAATTCCTAGGTCACAGTCATTTTTTCATATTTGTGAGTTGTGATTGAACAACTTGAATTACTAGTTATTAATAGAATCATAAAAGAGGACAAAAATTATTCTCATCTCTTAGAGAAAGTAAAGTAGTTAAGGAGATGCTAATGAAGTTGAAATATTCCAAATTGTTAAGATACAGAGCAGAAGGGCCTGAATTTTTGTTTGGAGTTCTGTCATGACCAAGTTACCTCAAACACCACATTTTCCTATACTCATTTCCTGTGACATGTTTACAATAGGTTTTTAAAGGATTTCCCGAGCATTTCCTATTTAACTAATACGTTTCTTTAAAAAGGGTGCTTTGTGAAAACAGATTGCCATATTCCAGACAAAAACTTTTATAAATTTATTAAGAAAATGTGAAGGCTGTTTTTGCAATTATTTTTTAGTTTTTTAAAGTTTTAATTTGAATTCCAATTGGCTAACATACAGTTTAATATTACTTTCAGACGTACAATTTAGTGATACAATTCCATACAAAACGCACTGTTCATCACAAGTGGACTCCTCCTCAATTCCCATTACCTATTTCACCTATCCTCCCCATGCCCCCACCTCCCTTCTGTTAACCATCAGTTTGTTCTCTGTAGTTAAGAGTCTGTTTCTTGGATGCTGGCGAGGATGTGGAGAAACGGGCACCCTCCTACACTGTTGGTGGGAATGTAAACTGGTACAGCCCCTCTGGAAAACAGTGTGGAGGTTCCTCAGGAAACTAACCATAGAACTCCCCTATGACCCAGCAATAGCACTGCTAGGAATTTACCCAAGGGATACAGAAATGCTGATGCATAGGGGCACAGCTACCCCAATGTTCATAGCAGCACTCTCCACAATAGCTAAAACATGGAAAGAGCCTAAGTGTCCATCAATGGACGAATGGATCAAGAAGATGTGGTTTATCTATACCATGGAATACTCCATGGCAAGGAGAAACAATGAAATCTGGCCACGTGTAGCCACATGGATGGACCTTGAGGGTGTTATGCTGAGCGAAATAAGTCAGGCAGAGAAGGACAAATATCATATGTTTGCACGTATAGGAGGATTAGGAGGAACTTGATGGAGGAACAAGGGGGAGAAGAAGGGGGGAAATGGTGGGGGAAAGGGAGAGAGGCAAACCATGAGAGACACTTGAATGCTGACAAAAACTGAGGACTGATGGATGTGGGGGGGAGGAGGGATGGGCATGGAGGAGGGCACTTGTGGGGATGAGCACTGAGTGTTATGTGGAAACTAATTTGACAATAAACTATTTGTAAAAAAAAAAAAAAAAAAAAAGTCTGTTTCTTGGTTTATCTTTCTCTGTCTCTCTTCCCCTTTGCTGATTTGTTTTGATTCTTAAATTCCACACATGAGTGAAATCATGTGGTGATTATCTTTGTCTAACTGATTTCACTTAGCATAATACTCTCTAACTCCATCCGTGTTGTTGCAAATGGCAAGATTTTATTTTTTATGGCTAATGTTCCACTGTATATATTTACCACACCTTCTTTGTTCATCAGTTGATGAACACTTGGGCTGCTTCCATATCTTGACTATTATAAATAATGCTGCTATAAACTTGGGGGCATATGTATCCCTTTAAATTAGTGTTCTTGTATTCTTTGGGTAAGTACCCAGTACTGTAATTGCTGGATCATAGAGTTCTTATACTTTAAAAATTTTGAGGAACCTGCCTACTGTTTTCCACAGTGGCTGCAGCAGTTTGCATTGCCACCAGCAGTACATGAGTGTTCCTTTCTTTTTTATATCCTTGCCAACACCTGTTCTTGTGTTGTTTTCAGTCATTGACAGAGATGAGGTGATTTCTCATCGTAGTTTTGACTTGCATTTCTCTGATGATTATTGATGATGAGCTTGTTCTGTTGATGTTTTTGCAACTACTTGGTAAAAGGGTCTGTATTAAGGAGTAGACACTTTTTATTAAATCTTTGAGCTAGGGGTGCCTGGGTGGCTCAGTCATTTAAGTGTCCAAGTTCAGCTCAGGTCATTCCTCACAGTTTGTGAGTTTGAGCCCCATCCACATCAGGCTCTCTGCTGTCAACACAGAGCTTGCTTCAGATCCTCTGTCCTGGTCTCTTTCTGCCTCTCCTCCACTCGTTCTCTCATTCTCTCATTCTCTCTCAAAGACATAAACATTTAAGAAAATAAATCTTTGAGCTACAGTGAACAATCATTTTAAAAATTATTTTTATGCAATAAGTTATTTTAATACTTAGTATAATTCTTGCTATTAGATTGGTGACATTCATAAAAACTCACCTTGATAATATTATTGATGAGCTTTTTTGCAAAATTATCCTATAGGGCTTTTGTAAAATATTATTCCTATCATTCCTTTAAAAACAGGTTTTTATATTGTACTTCTAAAACTTCCCCCTTCAAATAAACAACTAACCTTATCACAAATAGATAATGTTATAATTTATTAGTAAATACAGATATTAATAGCAATGTGTTTGTTTACTGTAAAACAATTTGATTGAGATTGTAAAGGCAACATTAGTGACAGTTAAACTCGTTTGACCAGTAAAATGCTAGTTATAAATGAAATAATCATTCCTTGGTAGTAATGATACTTCTACCCTGCTTTGATGACATGTCTTTTTCTTTGTCTTTTTCTTATAAAAATTTATTCCTACCATTGCTAGGAATCACTCCTTGTTGACACAGCTGTTCATATTTTGGGCTCCTTGAATACTACCAGTCTTTTATTTTTTATTATGTTTATTTATATTTGAGAGAGAGCATGAGCAGGAGAGGGACAGAGACTAATGGAGACAGAATCTGAAGCAGGCTCAGGCTCTGAGCTGTCTGCACAGAGCCCGATGCAGGGCTTGAACTCACAAGCTGTGAGATCATGACCTGAGCTGAAGTCAGATGCCCAACCGACTGAGCCACTCAGGTGCCCCTGAATACTATCAGTCTTAGAAAGGATATATGTGGAATGGAATTTGTGGGAGTTGTCAGTAAACAACAGTGTCTGTTCTGTTTCTCTCTTTCTTTGTGTGTATATAGTATTTTATATTTCACAAATTCATTTGTTTAACTCTAAAGCATTTGACTTGTAATTAGGGGAATTATTTGTTATGAATTAGAGGAGATTATGCTTCTACATTAGTGTGTGGATTTTATAGTTTCTGTGGTAACTTGAAGTGGTCACCTTATATCATTAGAATAAAGTCCTGTTCTCTGGAGTAAATTGAGAACCTCCCCTTTGTTTTCTGTGTACCTGTATTTTGTTTGGAGTTACCCTATCAGTGGAATGTAGCAGTAGTTATGTTACTAACAACAATTTTGTGAGATGTTTATTATTCTCATTTTACAGATGAGGAAACTGAGGCTTGGTGAAGTTACGAAACTTGTCCAAAGTCACACAGCTTACTGTAAAGGGCACAGCCAAGATTCAGAGCCAGGTCTGTCCAACTTCAAAACTCTTAATTATAGCCATGAAACTTTGAAATAGCTGTTAAGTATCAACCTATAATTAGTTGTATTGCTATTAATGTTGCTTAATAAGTTGTTTAACTGTTACTAATAATTTTTTTAATGGTGAGTTTTTTTGTCCATGGTTATTTTATGTATCTTTTAAATATTGTGAAAAGAAGTGTAACGTAGTGATTAAGGGTCTGGGCTCTGGAGACAGATTCCTGGGTATGAACCCTTAAGCTTCTCTATTTACTTGTGTGACATTGGGAAAGTGACTTAACTTTTTCTGTACCTCAGTTTTTCTGTCTGTAAAATGGTGATGGTAATATTACCCACCTGATAAAGTTGTGAAGATTAAATTATATAATATGGACAAGAGCACTTATAATAGTACCTGACTCACAGTAAGCAATCAATTATCATTTCCTAGCAGTTAGTAAAACAAATGATCATTATTTCTTTATTAGGAAACTGAACAAGGAAAGTTTAAGCACCAATATAAAGTATCACAAAATTCACTTAAACCAAAATTAAATTTGAATAAGTTAAACCTAGGGAAAATCATATATTTAATCAATTTCAGATCTGTGGTAGAGCAAACTGGGCAGCTGCTAATGAGCCTCACATGCACAAGGAAGATATTTTACGTATAAGGACCAAACATAGTTCCACTATAAATACCCTTGAGCCCTATATGATCATTGTATTATGAATGTACTTTGTCTGTTTTCCCCTTGTAAATGAGATTTGTATTCAGAATAGGTGTTTACATTTTTAAGTGGCTTTTAAGGAGATCTTTTGGCAGTGTTCATAGATAATTACAAACAACCAAAACATTATGTGTTATGTAAGATGTTGGCAACATTTCATCACTTGCAGGAGTAGTTATCAGAACTTACATTGTGTTGAATGTGCAGTGATTGACTTTTGAACTAGTGGTGCCACAGCACTTTCAGCTAGAACTCATTCATGTACTCTTTACTCATACTTGGTCATTACAGCTGTAAGAATTCTGAAGTGCCATATCCACTATTACTATAATTTAGTTAAAGTAAAATATGTGATTAGTGACTAAGAAGTTTATACCAATTGCAGAAATATTCATAAATAGGAGTATTAAATGTTTTTTATTTATTTTGAGAGAGAGAGTGAGCACAAGTGGGGGTGGGGGGCAGGGGCAGAGAGAGGGGGACAGAGGATCTGAAGCTGGCCATGTGCTGACAACAGAGTCTGACGCTGAGCTCACACTTACAAACCGCAAGATCATGACCTGAACCAAAGTCGGACACTTAACTGACTGAGCCACCCAGGTGCTCCAGATCGCTGTAACTATTTTAAAAAAGATCTTTGTAAGTTTTAATCTACACATGCATTTAATTCTCTTTTATGGTACTGAGTCTTCCTATCCTTGAACATGGTATGTCTTTCTAGTTATTTAAATATTTAAAAACATCTCAGTAGAAGCACCTAGGCGGCTCAGTCGGTTAAGTGTCCGACTTCACCTCAGGTCATGGTCTCATGGTTTGTGAGTTCAAGCCCCGCGTCGGGCTCTGTGCTGACAGCTCAGAGCCTGGAGCCTGCTTCTAATTCTGTGACTCCCTCTCACATTCTGTCCCTCTCCTGCTTGTGTCCTCTCTCTCTCTCAAAAATAAACATTAAAAATTAAAAAAAAATATTTTAGTCAAGTTTTTTTCTTTTTCTCTGTAAATATCTCTCAGATCTTCTCTTTGAATTATTAGATGCCTTATTTCTTGTTACTATTGTAAATAGTATATTTTTCCTCTTTTGGTTTTCCTACCCATTTCTATTTGCTGATGTAGGCTTTTTTGGTATACAGATCTATGTTCAGTCACCTTACTAAATTACTTTATTAAAATAATGTGAATGAAAATTGTGTCTTCCTTTGCAATGCTTACATCTTTTCTCTCTCTCTTTTTTTTCGTCTTATTATGCTAGTTAGGACTAGCAGTATAACATTCAATACAAGTATTAATAGTGGGCATTCTTATGTTGCACTTAATTCTTAAAAGTGAGTGCTTCATAGGGCACCAGAGGGGCTCAGTTGGTTAAGCGTCCAACTTTGGCTCAGGTCATGACCTCAGTTTGTGAGTTTAAGCCCTGCATCGGGCTGTGCTGACAGCTCAGAGCCTGGAGCCTGCTTCGGATTCTGTGTCTCCCTCTCTCTGCCCTTCCCCTACTTGCATTCTGTCTCTTTCTCTCTCTCTCAAAAATAAACATTAAGAAAAAAGAAGCTAGTGCTTCTTATGTTTCACTATTTAGAATAGTGCTTGCTGTAGTTTTTTAAGTTTCTCTATTTAAGTAATCTGTACACCCAGCATGGGGCTCGAACTCATGACCCTGAGTTCAAGAGTAAAATGCTCTTCCAGATGAGCCAATCAGGTGCCCAGTGTTTGTTGTAGATTTTTTATAGATATGCTATAGGTTAAAGACATTTCTGTTGCTGGTTGGCTAAGATGTTTTTTTGTGTGTGAAGAATGAGTATTAAATTTTATCAGATGCTTTTTCTGTACTTGTGAAAAGATGATATATTGTCCTTCCTTATTCTGTTAAGGGTGGTAAATGATGATAGTATTTTTTTTATATACAAGTGGATTTAGTTTATTAGTGTTTCATTTAAGATTTTTGTATCTATATTCATGGGTAATATTGGCCCATAATTTTATTTCTTACATTATCTTTGTTTGATTTTGGTATTCAGATCATACCAGCCTTGGGGTGCCTACCTGGCCGAGTAGATAGAGCATGTGACTCTTAATCTCAGGGTTATGAGTTTAAGCCCCACGTAGAGCATAAATCTGTTAAAAAAATAAATTGATAAAAACAAATGTGAAAAAGATTATAACAGCCTCAAAGAATGAGTTGAGAAGTATTCCTTACCCCCCCAACCCCCCCACCCCCATCTTCCCCACCACCACTAACAGTTTATATAAGACTAGAATGATCTGGGGTACCTGGGTGGCTTGGTTGGTTGAATGTCAGACTCTTGATTTTGGCTCAGGTTGTGAACTCAGTTGTGGGATTAAGACCCATGTTGGGCTCAGCACAGAGTGTGGTTGGGATTCTCTCTCTCCTGCTCTCTCTGCCTTCCCTGCTTGTGCTCTCTCTCTCTCAAATAAATTAATTTAAAAAAAAACTAGAATGATCTGTTTCTTGAACATATGGCGAAACTTCTGTTGAATTGTCTGGGCTTAGTATTTTGGGGGGAGTGCGTGGGCTCAGTACTTTTTTGGTAGGTATGTATTCAGTTTTCTAATGGTTTTATTTAAATTTTCTATTTATAGTTAGGTCAGTTTTTAGAAAAATTTTTTCTTTGGGGTGCCTGGGTGGCTCAGTCAGTTGAGCATCTGGCTTCTGCTTGGGTCATGATCTCACAGTCTGAGTTCAAGCTCCATATTGGGCTCTGTGCGGACAGCTCAGAGCCTGCAGGCTGCTTCAGAATCTGTGTCTCCCTCTCTCTCTCTCTGCCCCTCTCCTGCTCATGCTCTGTCTCTTTCTCTCTCTCAAAAATAAATAAACATTAAAAAAAATTTTTTTAATAAAAAATATGTTTTCTTTTTTAGGCATTCACCTATTTTGTCTTTTTAATTTTTTGGTTTCTTTGTGTGTGTTTTTGTGTTTTGTTTTGTTTTTTAAGTCTTTGGCATGGGGTGGCTCAGTTGATTAAGCCAGCTGACTCTTTTTTTTTTTTTTTTTTNTTTTTAATGTTTTTATTTATTTCTAGGAGAGAGAGAGAGAGACAGCATGAGCAGGGGAGGGTCAGAGAGAGAGGGAGTCACAGACTGAAACAGGCTCCAGGCTCTGAGCTGGCAGTCAGCACAGAGCCCGACGCGGGGCCCGAACCCACGAACCGCGAGATCATGACCTAAGGGAAAGTCGGACGCTTAACCGACTAAGCCACCCAGGCGCCCCTAAGCCAGCTGACTCTTGATTTTGCCTCAGGTCATGATCCTCACAGTTCGTGAGTTTGAGTCCTGTGTTGGGCTTTGGGCTGACAGTGCTGAGCCTGTTTAGGATTGTCTCTCCCTCGCTGCCCCTCCCTTGCTCACGTGCATGTGCATGCTTTTGCTCTTTCCCTCTAAATAAATAAATAAACTTAAAAGTATTTGGCATAAGGTTGTTCAAAGCATTCTTTTGTTATTTTTTAATTTCTGCTTAGTATTTCTTTCTTTTTTATTCCTAATATTTTTTGTGACTTCTGTTTTTCTTCATCAGTCTTGCTAAAGGGTTTATATATATTCTTAGCTTTGTCAGAAACCAGTCTTGACTTTGATTTTCTCTACCCTGTGTTTTCTGTTTTAATAATTTTTGGCCTTTCTCCTTTTAAGTGAAAAGCAGAATCTAATATACGGACATTAGGGTATCTCATATTTTCCAAGGACAAGATTTCTTGAAGAAATTATTTATTTATTTATTTTTTACAAATAGTTTATTGTCAAGTTGGTTTCCATATAACACCCAGTGCTCATCCCCACAAGTGCCCTCCTCCATGCTGATCACCCCCCTTCCCCTCTCCCCACCCCTATCAGCCCTCAGTTTGTCCTCAGTATTCAAGAGTTTTTCATGGTTTGCCTCTCCCTCTCCCCCACTATTTACCCCCTTCTTCTCCCCCTTGGTCCTCTGTTAAGTTCCTCTTAATCCTCCTATATGTGCAAACATATGGTATTTGTCCTTCTCTGCCTGACTTAGAAGAAATTTTTTTAATGTTTGTTTATTTTTGAGAGAGAGACAGAGCATGAGCAGGGGAGGGGCAAAGAGAGAGGGAGACACAGAATCCAAAACAGGCTCCAGGCTCTGGGCTGTCAGCGCAGAGCCCAACACAGGGCTCACACTCAAAAGCTGCGAGATTCTGACCTGAGGTGAAATCAGACGCTCAACTGACTGAGCCACCCAGATACCCCCCAAGTACAGGATTTCAGTAGGCCTTAAGAACAGCTGGACTCAGGGCCTCACAGTGCTACAAGGACTT